AGATTGGACTCATAGTGACTCCTCTTTTTCAGCCTCCTATGCGCTGGGATTACAGGTGCGTACCACCACACCCAGTCTCAGTTGCCATCTCAGTGTGCCCTGCAGGTGAGGCCAGCACAGCAGGCCAGGGGATCAAACCCTTGGCTGCTGCACTCTGCCTAAGCAGATGTTTTAGTCTGCTGAGCTATCTGGCCAGCCCTCTCTGCCTCTTTTTTATTCATTTGGTTTAGGGTTCACTCAATTTAGGATGATCTCAGAGGTCCTTATTGTATATATGTTCCCAAGTTGTTCTTTTTTTTCTTTTTTTTTTCCAAATAAGGTCACATTTGCACGTTGTAGAAAATAGTACATGGTCATGTATTTTGGAAACCTTATGCCACTCACTAAAAAAGGTAGTTGGCTTGCATTGTTCCCTAGGAATATATGAATGTGTTTAATGTCCAGTTTTGACATGTTCTTGGTCAAGAAACATCTACTTGCTCCTCTAGAATGTAGTTTGCATTTCATGTCCAGCTCACTAATATCACTTCCTCAGATTATTAGGACAATCCATTTATATCTGCCTTTATTTTAGGATTTCAGGTCAGCTTCCCAAGTCTTATGCTGCAAATACTGGGGCACTGGGATCTGTTACATGTGAACCAAAAAATAGCCCTTGGGACAGCCAAGGACTGGCCATCTCCTGTTACCCCCTAGGACCCTACAAATATTAGCATTTTCCAGATGTGCCATGATGTGAAAAGGTGAGGAAAACTGCTTCACAGTGTTAATTTTGTAGCATTGTGCCAGCAGGAAGCGTCTGGGCATCTCGCCTACTTCATATACTCCCTTGGGCTCCCTTTCTGGAAGGGCAGGTTTTCCTATTAATAGAAAGGGCAAAAAAAAAAAAAAAAAAGCAAAATAGAAAGGGCGAAAATAAAGTTAGTGTTGAATGAGTGCATTTCCCTGTTCTAGATAATAGAACATCTGGGGCAGGCTGTCAAAGTGTCTTTTTCTTCCTGTTCCAAGAGCATTTTTCATCGTAGTTGAGTTTTCCCTGGAACATCAGCTTTTTCTGCATTTTGAATTCCCTGAGCCTAAAGAAAATTTCAGTTTATCCTTCATGCTCTGCCCTTTTCTGAAAAAAATATGCTTTGAAAATGTATGTATGTCTGGTTAAGGAGCCAGAGCGTGGACCACTCATAAGAAAACTTTGTGGTGTTGGCATTACAGTGTGCTGGCTGCTGGGGTACCTCCAGGGGCAGGCATGCCAGATAAAGGGGGGGTCATTGGGGCTGATGAGAATATGGTACTGTGCGAAGGGATTGGAGAATGGGGAAGAGTATAATTGGTCCTTGTCAGAAAGTATGTAAGGCATTGTAGGATAGTGTAGACGGGCCTGGTGCTGGGAGAAAAGTGTGATAGCATACTGATGGTCTCCACTGAATGATCTGGTCCTCTTTAGAGGGAACATGAGTAAGGGAGAAGTCGTGGCGAATTGGACAGCAGCCGGCTGACTGGTCCTGCCTGAACACAGAAGGTGACCTCCTTTGCCAGTGCTTTGTCGAACCATAAATTCTATGGTGACACTGGGTTGTGCATTCTAACAGTTGAGAATGGGGCTACCATTTGTTTGTGTAGTATTTGACCCATGACAAATATTTAGCCTACAGATGATGAACTCCCCAGTCATATCTCACTTTGTTTGTTTGTTTGTTGTTTTTTGTTTTGTTTTGTATTTAGGACAGGGTGTACAGGGTTTCACTGTGTAGATCCAACTCATAGTGATCCTCCTGTTTACAGCCTCCCAAGTGCTGGGATTACAGGCACATATCTCACTTTTAAGCAGCATCTATAGACATGATTTCACAGAAATACTAGGTAAAGAGTTACCTGTTTATTTGTGTACTTCACCGGTAATTTGTCTGTCGTTTTCCAGTCCTTGGAAACACTGCAGTAAACAGGTGTAGTTTTCTGTCCTTGTGGAGCGTACATTTCCATCTACTAGGAAGATAGGCAAAGTCCCAGATAAATTATAGTTACACTGTAAAGGAAACAGATGGGGTTCCGAGAGTAACGGCAAAACCTGCTCTCTAGCAGGTGGTCGATGAAGTCTCTGAGAAGGTCTTGTTCAGGCAAATGCTGAGTTTAATGATACTAGAAAGAGGCAGGGAAGAGTGACACAGGCAGGGGCCAACAGTCTTCCCAGCAGGGTGTTGAGGAAGACCAGCAGGAGGGGCAGTGGCAGTGTGAGCTGACGTAGGCAAGGGCAGCCCTCATCAGATCTGAAAGTGGTGAGGTCTTCCAGCTGTAAAGCACATGAGAAGCCAGAGAGAATTTTAAGTGAGGGCAGGAAGTGGTCTGATTTATCTTTTTGAAAGAATTGGGTTGTAGGTATGCAATGGCAAGAAGGATGAGGGGACCCAGAGTGGTGGGGCACCCCTGTAGTCGAACACTCAAGACTTTGAAGCAGAAGGATTGCCACAATTTGAGTCCAGCCTGGACTACACAGCAAGTTCAAGGCCAGCCTAAACTATATAGTGAGACCCTGTCTTAAGGAAAGAGACAAGTGGGCTGAATGAGGGCTTGGTGCAGTGGTCTAGATGTAAATTGGGGTAGCCTGGACTTGAATGCCTAAGCTCACTCCTTACCAGGTGCAGGATTACCTGGGAGAAAGAACACTTGTGTGTGCCACCTCTGTCCCTCCCAGCCCCCGTTACAGTACTGGAAATTGAACTGAGCTACGTCCCCAGCTGTTTTAGCTTTATTTATTTTTATTTGATTTGATTTGATTAATAATTTATTTATTGGTGGTACCAGGGATCGAACTCAGGACCTTATGCTTGCCAGGCAAGCACTTACTTCACTGAGCTATCTTCCCAGCCCCTATTTTAGCTTTATTTTGAGACAGGGTCTCACCAAGTTGACTGGGCTGGGCTTGAACTCAGGTCTGGCTCATTCTTAAGTTCTTTAAGCAATTAAGTGTCAGGTATAGCCCAAGGTGACCCTAATGTTCCCTGGCCCTTGGGGCTTTCAGTGTCTCCTCCCCATCCCCAGCGTTGCTCATCTTAGCATACCTCCTTCACTGCCTGCTCTAGGAACCTTCAGCTCCTTCAGGGTCTAAATTAAAAGGGACTATAAGTACACTCTGTAATGGGAAGAGTAGAATGGTATGCTTCAGGCCTTAAAGGGCTTCTGTGTCCTGGGCTGAGCGTGGAGGTGGCTTCTGGTGCAGGAGCTGCTGCTGTGTGGGGGTTCCTGCTGCATGCCCAGAGTGGTTATCCATACCTGATAACCCACCCAGCATCTCACTGAAGCCTCACTATTCCTGGAGCTGGGTGCAGGATAGGAAAGGTTACTTGCTTATAGTTAAACGTCAGCCCCACAGCACAGTACTACTCAAAACGCTCAGTGCTACAAACCACATTGGTTGTTTTCTCTTTTAAGATGGTACAAATTCATTTGACAGAAAAACCTGATGAGCCTTTTTTGTTCATCACCTTATAGGAAAATATTCATGGAAATTACTGCAGAAATATCCATGCATGCCATTTGTGGGTTGCTGGCTTACACCCTATTTACATGGCATATAATAATCACTCTTCTCAGAGTGCTGCCATTGTGAAAGTGTGAAGACGTCTGGAAAGCTTGAAGCTGCACCCTAACCCTAGGCATCCAGATAAAGGGTGGTGGGTCTGAAATAAGTGCCGACTTATTTATGTTCGGTGTAACCTCGAGCATTCTGGCTTCAAGGTTGTCTACTTAACAGCTCCTTGGAAATCAGATGTAGCCCCTTTGTGCTTTGAGTAAGAAAGGGTGTGGAACCAGAGTGATGACCAGGTACGACGTCTCCTCCACATGGCTGTCGATAGCACTGACCAGGTGCAGGTAGTGGTGCTGTCCTCACCCCACGGTGCCCCAGGGTCGCCCCTCTCTGTACCACACTCCTGGTTGGTAATAGAGCCAACATCAGATCAGTGTTAGGAAGGAAGTATAGTAATTGAGGTAATTTATACTCACCAAGGTGTGGGCAAACTTTAATATTCCAAGAATTGCCTACATTTTTTTTAAAAAAGGTGTTTAACTTGGCCACTTTCATTAGAGACCGATTTGATATGTAATTAATAGATTAAAGAAAAATCCAAGCTGTGGAGACAAAAAAGATGCTCTTGATCAGCAGGTCAACCCATAAACACATTTGCCCGATTCTGGAGGTCAGTCTGCCTTCATCCCTCCCCTCTTAGCTTTCTCCCAAAGCTCTCTTTTTATAGCTTTCCTCCTTTCTCTTTGCCTAATATATAAG